GTCTATAAGTGGTATTTCGGGAGAGTAAAAAAAAACTTATATTTATGCATATTTGTTTATGGATTATGTGTGTTTTTCGTTTGATAAATATTGGATGTAGAATCGTCTGAAAAAAGTGAAATGGTACAACTAGAATGAATTTCCAGGTATGAAATACTCTAGTATTGGTTATTTAACGCATAATGGTGTGCTCGATTTTAAGTGATATAGAAAACAAAATGTGATTCTATATTTCAAACCATTTTATTAAATGAAATAAAATGAAACAAGAAAACAGTATTTCATGCACAACCCAACATTTTGTCTTTCCCTTTGCTAATTACAATGAACAAAACGTGTATGCATCTATTTTAAATGGAAATACAAGCAAACTGAAAGTATGTTTGTTTCTTCCCTATTATTAGAAAGGAAGCAAAAACGTTTTAGAAACAAAAATCCGCATGATTAAAAACATTTTTGGATTCCGTTTTGCATGTATTTAACTTAAGTGGACAACTACCTTTTAATTTCATTTAAACATTTATTGCAAGAGTAACGCCGTTTATTTGCACTGCCGATATAACTGATATATTTGCCACTGGACATATAACAACAGTGAATGAATTCGATTATGTTACGCGTTTCTGTTGAAAATTGAATAAATACCCCGCCCAATATTTAACACAAGCCTTATTCAAATGTTATCCATACCCCCTCAAATTTTAGTCATTAGTACTATATTCAAATTATAACAACGAACAATCAAATAAAATACCGAATACGCCATTTTGACCATTTCAGTTTCTTGGACTATTTATTCTATTAAACCACAATATTATTATAGAAACTATCCGAGTAATTTTTGTGTTTTTAATTTATATATATATAAAAATGAAACAAACGATTTTTGGTGTACAAAATCAAAATATTTCAAGGAAATGATATCTTAAACGGTAAAATTACAATCAAATCTTTATGTGAAATATATTTTTCTCTTACTTTCATTGTTGAATAATGTTAATGTGTTCAATATTACAATAGAAATCACTGACTCAAACACAGTTAACACATTTAATAGTTTGTAGATGCACAGAAGAGGAATGGGACTCAATGGAAAATATTCGTTTTTACCCACTTGGATACTATCCGTGACAAAAATTCAGCCAAGATTTGCATCGGAAAACAAACTGGATTATATTTTTAAATCATAGTGAATACGATACTATATTTTACACGATGGAATCACGACTCGCAAATAAAAGCTGTTTGTTAATAATGAGATATTTAGTGTTCATTGTATTACTACGATCACAATTTTAAAAAATCCAGTTTCAGTCGTTTTAGTAAGATTTCATCTTCAATCAATATCGCGTTACGTCCCTTAGAATTATTCCCATGGGTGAGCACTTTTTAAGAAAGTGCCCATGGAAATATCCAAAGGGCAAAACGTCCGGATGAATGAAGACGAACAATAGAAAATAACTCTCCATTCCTAAAAAATAATGGAGAGTTTGAACAAAAAATTTACGTCACAGGTGTATTTTAATGAAGAGATATTAATTGTGGAAATGATCATCTGGGTCGATATCCATAATCATAATGTGTCTCAAATTGAGGTATAAAATATGTCAACGAAAAAATCTCTGTGACCAAACAAAAGCTTTTGATCATGCAGAATGGGAATGGTTAGATGCATATTTAGAAAAATTTCAATTTGGGGAAATTTTTTCGGGAATGGGTTAAAATGTTACTAAAAAATGCTAAAACTTGTTTAATGACTAATGGTTTTCAATCAAGATATATCCCAATTTTAGATCAATCTGTCAGGGCTGTGCTAAACATTTTACAAGCAGAGCCGATGGCGGCCACAATTAGGAATATCTAAAAATTCAAGGAATTCACTTACCTTGCTCCACACAGAAATCGAAAACAAAGAAATTCCAATAATAGAATTTATTTTCTTTTCTTTTACTGAATATCAAATTGTTGTGGTCTTAAGTTTGCCAAATTAACATGACGATATTCCGCAGACTAAGAAGCAACAATGAGGCCAGAAAAAGGATAATCAGCTCGCTGGCTAGTTTTATCATTCGTCAAAGGGGATATTACAATCAATACATAAGATACCCCGATGTATCTCCTAATTCCATATTTATATGCCAAGATGGTGTACATTTGACTAATATTGGTAATAATATTTTTAATTATCACAATTCAAGGCGCTGTAGAGGCCTTTCTGCCACATACTTTCCACAATGAGTATTAAGAAATTGCTTGATATGCATTTGAATTCAGTTATCGTAAGGGTTTAAATATATGAGTCCTTTATATCTCGTTTATTCTTTTGTATTTGGCACACAGCTTCTACGCAGCTCTACCCGCTTTTAATGGCGGTTGACCCGACAGTCATGTATGACTGCCTTGGTCAATTTGGCACATTTCGCTGCGTTTCCTTTAAATATGCGTCATTTGGTGTCATATTTCATTTAGCATATAAAACATTTGATATTGTGGGTCTCTGTATCCCAGGACCACTACTCAAAAATTTACGAATCTCTGTTTCCCAGGATTCATTTAATTGGATGCTTCATTTATTGTAAATAATTAGTTATCTAGTTAGTTATTTAGTTATCTTTTTGTAGTTTGCCAATATGAAAGGTGACTACGTTCATTTAATTATCTATATATATATAGTAAATTTAGACCCCTCTAACAAGAAATTTGTTTTGCATGCACACGTATAAAAATTGCGGTTTTTATCCAACGCAATCATAGGTTTGAACGTTGTTTTCAATTTAGACTTGTATATATATATATATATATATATATATATATATATATATATATATATAAGTGCCTATAAATAGCAGCACATGACATACAAATCTATGGGAGTGTGGATTAATCAGTACAGAGATTAATTCAATTACACAAATAAAATTATAGATTGCCTAACAATGTAATTTTAACACACTATTTAGTATGTAAATATAAGAATGTTTAAAATATTTACAAAATGATGAAAATAAACGCAATATTTCGCTAGACTAACTAGCTTTATCAAGCGTGCATCTATCCAGGTGAAATCGGATGTAGATGATAAGAAACTTTTGCAGCTCAATGTATATGTTGAACCTGAATTTAGCTGCCTTGAAAATAATACATAATTTGGATGAAGTTCAAGATTTTTACAAAATTTGTAGTTGAAGTTAGCAACGTCCATTGGCCAATATTACAGGATGAAAAAGACGATGCTGTGTACTAAATTTTCATCCTGTAATATTGGCCAATGGACGTTGCTAACTTCAACTACAAATTTTGTAAAAATCTTGAACTTCATCCAAATTATGTATTATTTTCAAGGCAGCTAAATTCAGGTTCAACATATACATTGAGCTGCAAAAGTTTCTTATCATCTACATCCGATTTCACCTGGATAGATGCACGCTTGATAAAGCTAGTTAGTCTAGCGAAATATTGCGTTTATTTTCATCATTTTGTAAATATTTTAAACATTCTTATATTTACATACTAAATAGTGTGTTAAAATTACATTGTTAGGCAATCTATATATATATATATATATATATATATACCATCTTTTCCGCAAATTTATTGTTTTCTGTTTGGTATTAAATTAATAATTTTAAAAGATCCATTTTGTAACATCTTGTGATCCGTTTATTTGGCAATCGCCAATGGCAGTCAGCAGGGTTAAAGAACATCTGTTGTTCGACCTGTTAGTCAAATGCGTTTTGTTAAAATATACTTTTTCACTTTTTTGGTCTTTTGGAAAATGTTGTGAGTGCTGTATTTAGACCCCTCTATCAAGAAATTTGTTTTGCATGCACACGTACAAAAATTGCGGTTTTTTATCCAACGCAATCATAGGTTTGAACGTTGTTTTCAATTTAGACGAGTTTTTATATATATATATATATAGGTTTGATCCAAAACGCACATTCCTTTTTAACTTGCTAAAACTTTAAAAAAAATATTGGAAACATATATATGTATGGACCTTTTCTAAAGGAGTATCCCCACTGAATGCTTTTTTAAATTAAATTATCTGTGGATAAATTAAAAAAAATATTAAGAAACTATGGTTCCCACTCCAATAGGCAAAGACCTCAGACGAAATGTGCTATAGTATACAGTTCCTTTTTGGTTATATAGCTTCTTTTATACATTATTGACTTCAGATGTTTGGGATTAAGCGCTCCTAATGAAGGTAAATCCAAATATACGCTTTGACTCACAAAATCATAAAGTGTTGCATTCGACTCAGTATAGTCTCACATATGACACACCAACACACGAAGTCTCTCTATATCTTTGAATATGTGTTCATGACTATGTCATGCAATCGTTGTTGTGCGTTATGGCTTTTTATAGCATTTGTTATAGTAGTTAATTGTTTTCTTTTTTGCAGGTACCAATGGACGCGTGCTTTATTTGCAAATTATCCATAAATGACGGAAGAGCAACTGTAACCTTAAGAGAAAAAGGAGCCAGAAATATCAATGAGTGCTACGAAATGATACTAACGTTGTTAAGTCTGGGTACATAGAACACAATGATTGTCGCAGGGACTACACAAATGCTAAGTCTGTCAAACAAAAAGAACTAGATCACAAGAAAACTGAAAATTGGGTTTTGAGATCACAAGAACAACTATCGAGATAACTGTCTTTTCTGTGGACAGTTTGCAGATGTTAAGGATAAAAGGAAAGGTACAGATGTATTTCCTGTCCGAACAAAGGGTTTCCAGATCAATATTGAAACAATCTGCTGTGAGAGAAACGATGAATGGGATACACATGTATTAATCAGAATTGTATTTGTACATGATATACATAGTTTACCAACAGCAGTGCAGTGTGAATTTTCGAACAGGAAAACATATTCCATCTATTTGCATATAACATATTTCAGTAATTTACCATACCAACTTCAGTGTACACGATACATTTCTAGAATCTGAATGCAGGGGTTGTTAGCTGCTATCATACATTACTCACTTGATTCGAATTTCTCATTGGATATCGTTATTCCTACTTGAACAATGGTTTTGGTCTCCGTATCAAGATCACAAATGTCAAGTAAATCTTTTAAAAATGATTTTACAGCTAGTTGAAATTCTTCGTCGCTTTGCAGAAAACGTACTTGAGCTGATGTCTGAATAACGAGTGATCCCTTGTAAACAAACACTATACGGAAAAATTTTCCCATCAGAGAGGAAAAATTTTCCAAGGTTTCCTTGATTTCATCTATATCCCAGTTACTTGGTGTTGCCAGTGTCCATTCTACATAGCAAACGTCATAATCTGAAACAGAATCACAGCCAATATATAATAGAAAATGATTAAATCATTGAAATACACAAACATATAATCTGATTGTTTTAGGTTTTACTAACTGTTTTAGGTTTTACTAACTGAGACGCACGTCTTGCGTATTGAATTTTAAGCCTAGTACCTTTTGTTAGCTATTATTCGTGTGTTTCTTTGTCCTATATGTTCTCCCATTTATTTGTATTGTGGTCCTGTCATGTGATGTTGTCGTTTTGGTGTTGTGTTTGACGTTACCATTAAAGCGGGAGGTTTGGCATGCCACAAAACCAGGTTTAACCCACCATTTTTTTCTTAAAATGTCCTATACCAAGTCAGGAAAATGGCCATTGTTATATTATAGTTCGTTTCTGTGTGTGTTACATTTTTAATGTTGTGTTTTTGTTGTGTCGTTGTTCTCCTCTTATATTTGATGCGTTTCCCTCAGTTTTAGTTTGTAACCCGGATTTTTTTTTATCTCTATCGATTTATGAGTTTCGAACAACGGTATACTACTGTTACCTTTATTTAGCCTGGTATCTTTAATGAGTTTTAACAAGAATATCTTTATTCAAAATTCAACCAATACAATAATCCAAACCAGCATAGGACACATACTTTAGGTTACACATGTTGTACACTGCCAATTCTCCAAGGAATACAATAATGTTTAAGAATAAAATCTGTCCTTTTATGTCTTTATTTGTTCACTTGAAAATGTTTGTTTCATACGTTATATACGTATGAGATATTATATATGTATAGCAACATCATAGTTAAACAAATACGAAGTTTTAATATTACACAGTTAACTTAAAACACAAAGCACATACCGTGCGAAAGTCCTTTTTTGGGGGGATCTGTTGCCTTAGATATCTCATCTTTCCACAATGTTTTAACCTCAAATACAACATTGCGTATGCCAACAGTGAGCTCTTTGAAAAGATAATTAAATGTTTAGAAATCTAAATCTGCTTGTACAGGTATATAAAAAAAAATAATCATAAAAATAAAACCTCACATACATTAGGTATTTTCTATATATTTTAGTATTTATATAATGATAAAACACGAAATAAGCTTCATCTGTATGACGGGGATCATCACCATAGGTTTATGCTAATCCTCTTTAGTTTCCTTAATTTCATTGATTCTAATTCTATTCTGTTTGTAGTGAGTTTTGTGATGATTAATCTTTATTTTATATAGTATTTGTAGGACTGTTGTTTCTAAATTCGTCGTCTTCTGTTTTTTTTTTTGTTTTTTTTTTTTTTTTTTTTGCAATGATTTCAATAGCGTCTCTTCCTCTCTTCCACTTGGAATAGGATCCCAGTTACAGGATACCAGTCCAGTACCACACGAATGAAGTCCCTTAATAAATCTACCATCTTTTAAATGGGATATTGTACCGAGAAGAAAATTATGTAAAGATGCTTAAAATTGTAATATCTAAAGGGTATATATTAAACTTTCAACGTCTGTTAAATTTTAAGAGGTTCTGAAATGTATAGGGTGGATGATTGTCTGAGTAAAAGGTCCAAATTTAATTTTCAATTTTAACCAGGAAGTTAATAAAATGACCCTATTAATACTCAAAACAGTATTGCTCTCTTAAATGCCGGTCATGACCCCCTAATAATTCTCCAAGAAACCAGGAAGGGGGATAATAGTATGAGAAAGTAACTGAAATTTTACAGTCGAAGATAGGGTATGAAAAATCTGCCCCTTAATTTGAATAAAATTGCATTAAAGTAATGGGGGAAATAATTGGGTCCCCGTTCCACTTATAAGTTTTGGTGGTCCCTTTGGAAACTTCTGCCTCTTCATTTTATTAAGAATTTGTTAGAAACTAACTAATAAAAGGAATATGTTGTACTTTGTAATTTGTCTTTGTTCTTTATACGTTTTTTTTGTTCGGCGGAGTCGTATCATTGTGGTCCGTTGTACTTTTTTTTAATTATGGTGATTCCTGCTATCTTTTTCCTTTATTTCATGGATTTAACGACGTTACATCTTCTAACTCGCATATTTCTTTCGCCATATATCATTTATAAATTGTTTAGTGATTTGGGCTTTCGGGTATTACTGTTTGGCAAATTTTTCGTTTCATGAGGATGAATTAGTTTAAGATAATTAAACCAATTACTTTGTGCATTTTATGTACACAACAACTTTGTAATAATAAAAGTAGTATAGCAATGTGTAGAAGTGACAACCAAGAGAACAACAAACTATATCGGTATGAAAGAAGAAGGTAAATATATTCGTTTTCATATATTCCTCTCTACATTAATCCGAGTATTAGGTGTTTGAATTGTTCAAAGAACAGTGGTCATATTTACTACGACTTTGTAAGTAGGTTCTTTTCTTTGATACTTGATTCACATTTATCTATTATATAAATTCTAAAAAAAATTCTAACATGACGTTCTTCAAACGCTTTGAGTACACACCTGTGGTAAAATATGAATATATTGTTTTGGCTGTTCCGATCGTACTCCCGCGTCATAGAACGATGACGTAAGAATATAAGCATTTTACAGGAAAATACACGCTTGTGAAACCGAAAATCATCATAACAAGAAAACGTAAACAAATGATGCTAAAATGTGTTATATAAGCCATTTTTTGTATACATATAAGACATATAAGTACAATTATAATTAGATTCATCCAAACCTATCTAAATATGTTATTGTAATTAGTTTAAGCATGTCATTTATTCAGTTTGATCCGGTCTGTTACGTCAATTTAATAGTGCGATTATTTATGGGAACGGCAAATAATGCCTTCATCTAGAGCGCTTCGATCCAAAACAATTGCCGTATTTGTCCTATTAGAATCGAAATAATTCATGGGGGCTTGAATATATCGTGATTTTACCACTATCGCTCAGGGTAAAACATTTGTCATAAAGGGCCAACCCGTGGTAAAATCACGATATATTCAAGCCCCCATGAATTATTTCTTAAACATTACATGACACATTGTTAGACAAAACCAAAACAAACAAAAAATCAACTTAAACAAAAACAAAAATAGGACACCTAGGAGTACAAACTCGATAATAAAGATATGTGGCTATATGGGCCGATGATTGGTTTGATAAAATATTCGTATTACATTATAATATGTACAAGTGAGAACAGTTGACAATATTGTAAACTCAAGTTTCGTATAATGGTTGTGTGCGATACATTGAATATATAAATATAATATATGTCGTCACTGTTGCTTTATTAATCTAATACATTTATTATTGCAAAAGTATTTGGTGGAGCTGTCTCGTTCTTCAAACTGAATTTTCTTTCTATATTGGAGATTACAAACTTTGAATTACCTTTTTGTTCATCAAGTCGGCTAAATACCTCGGTTTTTATTGCCTCAGTATTCTCTACCAAATTCCTTGTTTGATGTGCCAATGATTCAAGAGTGCTTTTTTGCTCTTCTACGAAAATTTCAAGAATCTGCAACATGTTCAATAGAAATATTTATCAATTTAAGTTAATTTCATATTGGTGATATATTTCTATCTTTTATCGGTATCTTTGCACAAATCTTTAGACTGTCATTGGCTTTGAACTAGCTTCCAGTAACCGCGAGTACTCTAAGATCTGTTTTTTTGTGTCTTTTTTGTTGTGGGGGATGTTTAAATTTCCTGCGAGGTCTGTGTTTTTGTTAAGTGTTTTCTGCTTTGTATCGATATGATGAGTTAAACCCTTTCCACCTGATTTTTATAGTTTGTTGTTATGTTATACTGTTACACAACTGTCCCAGGTTAGGGGAGGGGTTGGCGCAAGCAAATATGTTTAAACCTGCCAGATTATGTATGTGCCTGTTCCAAGTCAGGAGCCTTTAATTCAATGGCTGTCGTGTGTTGATGTATATCATATTTGTTTTTCGTTTATTGATTTGTACATTAATCAGGCCGTTTGTATCCTTGTTTGGATTGTTTTACATCTGTCAATTTTGACCTTTTTAGCTTACTATGCGGTATGGGTTTGGTCATTGTTAAAAGCAGTACGGTGACCTATATTTTTTTTAACTTTTACGTCATTTGGTCTCTGCTTGAGAGTTGTCTCATTGGCCATCATACCAAATCTTCTTATTTTCATATTCTATATTTGTTCTGTTTGTCCGGGATTTTGAATTTCAGACGATCCGGTATTTAATTAATTTGCTGATTATACACGTCTAAACATGTGATAACTTTACGGCAGGTATTCTCCATTTGATTACCCGTTGTTATACAGGTCTAACACCATAATTTATATATATTGCGTCTCAAATTTGGCATAACAATGTTATTTCTGCAAATTTGCGTTATGAAATTTTTGTTCTCTTGTCAGCGGAATACGAACCAATATTTCTGTGACATCGGGTCATGGTCAGATGAACCTTACCATACGGATTTGAACACCTACAATTATTTTATATACCATATATAATAGACCTATTGCTTATTATATTTGAAAAAAAACGGACTTAATCACGAAACACTTACGCTGATCGCTGTACCATGAAACGAAGTGAACATTGTCTGACGGACCTTGTGGAGATACTATATACCAAATACTATTGTCATATAAATCATTTTAACTTATAAAAACGATATTGTTTAAGCAGTTATTGAACCATCACAATGAAGTCACGGACACCAGACATATGCCAGACTTAAACTGTGTACAAGGTATGAATTATCCAGCTGCAATAAAAAGCTTTTTTTTGTCAAATAGCTCTTCACGTGTTGTTGTACCATTAATCTTTAGCCTGCAAATATTTGGATTGAGCGTTCCTGATGAAGGTTAATTCAGAAAAGCGCTTAGAACGCATAACATTTATAAAGTGTGATTTTCATTTTTGATACACATAGTTCACACCATCGCTAGAAAAACACCCCTATATCTCACATTCTGCAACATATGTCACAGGAGAGACAAACAATATTAAGATAAAACTTGAACAACGTCACGAAAAGACAAACAAATTGCCAATTTATGATAATCATTGCATGATGGAGTGCAACAAGTACCCTTTAGTTTTCCTTTATTAATATTTATTTGATTTGGAAAGGGAACACCGACGTTTTTTCAAAGCAGGACTTTTTCTCATTCTTTGCAGCTAAAATTATTTATTTATTGAGGTCAATGCAAATGCATATTCTTTTCATTTCTTTTGCAATTATGGTCAATATTTTTGGTTGGGTATTATTTTAAAAATATCTTATGAAGGATAACTGCAATTTAACTAATTTACGCGAGCGAGGAAACATATCGAATATGTAAATACATTATATTGGAAAATCGGGGTAATCAATCGAAATCAGCTAAACGTGAATTAACGTCTCCAGGAGCATAAGTTGTTTGACAGTATTCATTTCCCCTCAAGAAAGAGTGGAATAGTAGTTACATAATCTTCTAGCTTTTGCCGTCCAAGAAAATCAAATGGGCGTACTTCGATTTTTAAGGCTGTTCACGCGAGAACATTACATTTAACATAGTTCGTATATTGAATAACGCATAGAGAGGTTGGAGGTTTTCATTCCTGATATACGTCTCTTATCGTACAATAAAATAGAGCTTAATTTCAAATATATTATGAACATATACACTATCTGCATCAAAAATCAGGTCTGAGATCAATTGGTCAGCTAAGAGGATTCATGTCAGGTTTTACTACATTTATATAGACATTAAACAAAATATGACAAAATTACCGAGCTCCACGGTACATTCAAAAAGAGGAAGTCTTTAAAAACTGACAAAATCAAACGTTATCAACCGACGTAATCTGAAAAACATATTTCCGGACTTGGAACCGGCATTTTCCGAAGAAAAAGCGGGTTCCTGATATTATAGCTGCATACCTCACAGATATATAACACAAAAAATCTTGTGTCTTTTTATAATCTAGAAAAGATATGTTTTATATTTAAAAAAGAAATCACATTTAAACATTTCTCCAGAGAAAATCTTGTACACGAATCATAAGTAACTTCCACAACATGAACTGGTGTACAATTATATTTGTTTTATGCTTGTACAATTATATCTGTTCAATGCTTGTACAATTATATCTGTTCAATGCTTGTACAATTATATCTGTTCAATGCTTGTACAATTATATCTGTTCAATGCTTGTACAATTATATCTGTTCAATGCTTGTACAATTATAGTTTGATTCCCTCTCAAGCTCAACAGTGTTCTCTTGTTTTTCACCTGCTCTTTTAAATGTATTTTTATTTGAAATTTATTATCAATTATTAAAAAAACCTTTATTTCACGTCTTTTCCATAACTGTTATTTTTATAGTTTATCTTTTATTATTCTTTTGTTTTGCCACTAAGGACTGCCCACATGTTATAATCTTCTATAAGTCATCCACATGCATCTGTTTACAAAATAAATTACTATCAAAACTAAGGAGTACCTATCATTGACTTACCTTATAGATACTGTCGTTGATATTTCTTTTTAGATCTTTGTCGATAATTGTCGACAGATTGCTATTTTTAAAAATAGAAATTTGATCTTTGATCATTTTCAGAAATACAGGACCTACTACACTTGCAATATTCAACACTGATTGTTCTACTAACCCAAACTTTTGATCGAATTCGGACTTTGTTATTTTATTTTTTGGCGAATGAGCTATGAAATTTCTTGTCTTTTTAATATCCGTTATCCAAATTGGGTTTCCAGAAATTGACCCAGGTTTGCAACACGACTTAACAACAGAAGCCAAAAGTGTGATATCCATTAAGTCTACAGAAGTCGTTCGTTTTGCTGAAACACTGCAAAGACATAATTGTTTTATCGTATGTCCATGCTTTCTTTTATGATCTTGAACTTCTTGTCCTTCGTCTGTTTCAAACAATGTATCAAACTGAGTATCAGTAAGACGACATTTTTTTCTTGGAGCCGCTAATGAAAGTTGTTTACATTCACAACATGGAATAGATGGATATAATTCATGAAATAAGACATGCTTGTGATTTTCCAAGAATATAAAAAAATCCAACGAGTTTAACACTTTTATCTCGAAATAGAGTTGGAGAACTTCTGTAGCTGGTCCAATGACAAAGGTTAAAAGTCTTAGGTAATACTCTTCTTTCCTTTCTTCTGCCTCGGCCATATCGCTTTTAATACTACAACAGAGTAAAAGTTATATAGTTGGCAATAGAACAACACCCACTTAACCCGGAACACCCCTGCAGTTATCATACAATTATTTTTGTTTTGTTTTAGCCAACCAGGACATATATAGATAAACGTTGTCCACGTTTTTGTTTTTAAATTTTGACCTCGTGTTTGATATTGCTATGTATTATTCTTCTTTCTCCCAAAACAATTATTATGTGGTAATTTAAAATTCCTTCTAAAAAACTTTTGCCCCAAAAATTTGAATCTCATTGATTATTGAAATATCACCGTATATTAAAAAATAAGAAACTTTTTTATGGAAGCACATTAACATACAAACGGTTTTCATTGTCTGATTGAATAGCCGTTCACAGTGTTATTGAGATCAATTTCACCACACTTGTATATATATTTCTATTGACTCTGTCTGTGTCTCGACTCAATAGAAATATGTTTTTTGACTTACACCTTAAGATAAGAGAGGTCTTGTGATCTGTATATTTACCGATTATGTCCTATTTCCTATCTTGACATTTTGACTACTAGTAATAACATAAACGGTACCATTTTTTCTGCACCAGATGCGCATTTCGACAATCGATGTCTCTTTAGTGATGCTCGAGGCCAAAATATTTGAAAATCCAAAGCTTATTAGAAAGATGAAGAGCTACAAACCAAAAAGAACAAACTAGTATAGCCAAAGCCGGGCAAGGAATCAGAGCTTTGCATGAGGGAGATGATTATGATTCACATGGCGGTTTATGCATGCATAGCATTCGACGCTTCTAGTGATGTAGATGCACCAATTCTCTTTCCGTCGATGCCAATCCCTAATTGTTTGTTTCTAGTTGTTTAATCAATATGCATCAGTTACATCAGTGATTACACAGTCTTATATGCGCACCAAACCATGGCAGTATAATCAGTTCGTTAATTGTGGCCATTATCTGACAGAAGCAGAAGCAGAAGCAGAAGATTACTGTTACCTCAATAATATCAATACAAAACTTGTTATCTAGACATCAAATTGATTTCAAAAGTTGTAGTATGATCGGTTAACTGTGTAAATTTAAATTACACTTGATAAATTTCGTGTGTCCGAAGCTGTTTAGTGGATATACCTTTATCAGGAAATAGTAAAATAACAAAAATACCGAACTCCAAGGAAAATTCAAAATGTAAAATCCATAAACAAATAGCAAAATCAGATGCGCGTTTCGTCTACATATATGTAAGCCTCATTAGTGGTTAAATAGTTGAAAGACCAAATGAAAGTTTTTGAGAGTACAACAAAAATGTCTACCGGGTAAATTACATGCATGTATCAGTTATTTGAAAACGAAATCTAAATTCGATATTTTTCACATTTTTCGATTCCAAATTCAAATTAACAATAAATTGTAACGTGAACATATACTATTATTGCAAATTGCCACAACGAAAAATAAATGTGAACGTAAAGTAATTATATATACCATGTAAATTTATGCTTACATATCACCAAACAACAAACTTCCTGTCTTAAATATATTCTGTTTAAAAATCACTTGGTCCTGTAACAATATTAATTTTAGTGATAAATTATCATCAATGGAAGCCACTTCTTTTGAAAACGTACGATATATTTCAAATAAATACTCTACAATTTTATTCTGAGAGCTAATCAATTGGTTTAAACATTTATCCTGTAAATAGATAAATGCTGATCTAGCAGAAGTTTAAACTCATAAAAGGAAGTAAATAAGGATGACGGGTGCCGCCTAGATTTCACGACCACAAAATAACTAGAGGTAAATTTCTTTTCTGTTTCCCTATAAATAAGAAAAGAAAATTAAAATATTGACAAATGAATGTCGGCTATTGGTGGTGTAAATATAGCGAGGTGGTTAGCAGAAAACGCTTTGTGATGAGCAAAAAAGAGGGACAAAAGATACCAGAGGGACGGTCAAACTCATAGATCGAAAACAAACTGAAAACGCCATGGCCAAAAATAAAAAGACAAATAGACAAATAATAGTACTGATGACACAACATAGAAAAATAAAGACTAAGCAACACGAACCCCACCAAAAACTGGGGGTGTTATATGCCTAAAGTTATGCAAGGGATGTTTTTCGTTCATACTAATACCGAAACTAGATTACCTTGGAAGGTATTTTTCAATAAAAAAAAAGCTGCGGCAACATATGTTATTTTCAGATTTATTCAAACCAAAAGGTGTTAAAAATTCCTTATTTGACATTTTTTAACGAAAACGTGGATACCAAAATTTTACTGTTGCCGCCAATGCAAATAATTAATTCCTTTCAACGAAAGTAAGGATCACATTTCCTTGATAAGAATAGCTTGAAAACACACATTCATTTACACAAAAAATTACTTAAGCCAAGAAGTGAAAAAAATAAACTTTTTGTGTGCTACATTGTCGCTCAATTAGGGCGACTGTAGTTTACCGAAGTTCTAATTTCGTTAATTGATAAGTAGAAACAAATCAAGAAAACAAACAAGAACCTTCGTTAAAGTTCATCAAAAGGAGTTTACAAATATGGTCGTGTTTTACATGACAGAATCTTGATGAGTACAAACAAACCGGTTTATCTAGGAAAGTTTTAAGGCATAGCTGAACCTAGACATAGAAAAGTTATATTCATTTTAATTTTCAGAAAATATAAAAACCTACCTGAATTTTGATGTGTTTTTTTCAAGTCTGCACAGTATGGCAAAGTAAATAAACATCAAGTTACACCGTTTAAATCACGTACTTTTGTGTAGATTTCTAGTGTCTATCTTTAATGCATGTCAATCGAAACAGTTCACTACATTCGAGAAATATGAACCGGAAACCAAATCTGCCTAACCTGTTTTCATTTTTATCTTTTGAAGTGTTATTTTACATCTCACAGTGCTGAAAGTGGCGTTAGACACTAACATCAATCAATCAATCAATTAGTTCATATATTCCCATTTGTAAAATAAAAGTCAATACTTTTCAGTTTAAATTAGATCTGCCATTAATCACCACGTATATTGATAAATTATTCACGTAGATTAAGGTTGCACAATACAAAGATTTTTTCAACCCCAATCAGACAACTTTAAACTGATGCAATTCGTAAATACAGCTATACAATATTCATCAATGAAGAACCAATAGAAAGAAGAAATTTTTTTTCTTCCAAATGGTTATAATCATTATTGCATAATTATTACATAATCAGTTATTATGTAATTAGTTTCAGATTGTGGTGTTCAGGTTTGAATAAAATAAGCTTCTTTGTTATTCATAGCATCCCACACCAGTTGATAGATTCTTGTGTAACACGGTGTAACCTCATAAAAAGATGTCTCATATTTTTCCTATTGTATTTCATTCTCTCATACACCTTTAATTAAGTATGCAAGATTTAATCCAAAGAAATCACTAAATTCAATTGGGTATAAATAAAGGCAACAGTAGTATACCGCTGTTCAAAAATCATGAATCGATTAAGAGAAAATAAATTCGGGTTACAAACTAAAACCGAGGGAAACACATCAACTATAAGAGGAAAACAAAGGAACAACAGAAACACTGAACTGCAACAAAAAACAAACGCCAACATACATAGAAACGGACTATTTGATAACAACTGCCATATTCCTGACTTGGTACCGGACATTTTAAGAAAAAATGGTGGGTTGAACCTGGTTTTATTGCTAGCCAAACCTCCCGCTTATATGGCAATGTTAAAGAATATTAAAATGACAACACTACGTGACAGGAATACAGTACAAACAAACATAAATATAATTTACATATGTACCATGGGGATACTTCAGGATTAGTAATTAATCATCAATCAATTAGGTTTTTAACCATCTCAGCAATTCTAAATATTTAAAGGAAATGCACACCATGTCCATCAAAATCAGATCTGGCGGTATAAGTTATATCACATTTGACCTTTCTGTAAGTCAGTTGCTACTGATATGGTCAACCCTCCGCCCACCTTAATAAACATTAACTATGAATGATCTCAGACGTTAATTTACACATTGCAGTTGGTTTTTTTCAATCGGAATATATTTATTAAGTACATAAAACCATGTATTTTGTTTTTAACATTTCCCCAAAAAGTAAGTTTTGATTGTGTACATAAAATGATCAGTTGGTCAGTCTACAGGATTCACATATGGGACTTTTTAGAATTATAATATGTCTTTTTGTAATTTTTTATTTTATCTGAAAGAATTATAAAAATTGCTAACAAAGAAAATGCGGTAGTTTAAACAAACTGGAATTTTCATATTTTTGTAGTTTGAAAAAAAAAACATAATTTGTGTTTTGTTTTTAAAAAGGAATTCAAATTTAAACATTCCACTCTAGAAAATTTGATATTAAAATCATCATAAACACAACAGCAACATTATCTGTTGTATAATTTTATTTGTTTAATACTTTTACATTTATCTTTATCTTGATTCCCTACATAGCTACATATTGTTTCTTTCTTTTTCTCCTGGCAGCCCTGATGTATAATTTTTTTTTAATTGCAGTTCTTTATCTTCTCTTTTCTATTACCCTTAAACCACCTCTCTCTCCATTACTGCCATTTTGATAGCTTGTCAGTGGTCATAAAGCTATCAAATGATTCTGTTGATTAGCCACTTGTTTACAAAACTAACTATCATCAAAACTCATTTACAGTGTAAGAAATGTATTATAGATACAATGAATAAGCGTTGATTCTTGAAAAAGAAACCATGAGCCCGGTTTGTTTTTCATAAATCAACGCTTATTCATTGTATCTCTAACTTGAACTATTGTGTTGATGTCTTTTCAAAATTAAATAGATATAGGAAGATGTAGTATGAGTGCCAATGAGACAACTCTCCATCCAAGTTACAATTTATAAAAGTAAATCATTATAGGTCAAGGTACGGCCTTCAACACGGAGCATTGGCTCACACCGAAAAGCCTTTTCTTAATTATAAGGTGTTATAAAGGAGTTTAGATAACCATGTAATCATGTTCAACGGTGCATTATTAAATCTTAGTTCACAATTAATTGGTTAGAGAAACACAATTATAACATAAAACGTCTGTCTTTAAATTATCAGGCATCTGAATATCACAAAATAAGATACATTCAAGCTTATTTCTGAGTGCGGAAGTTTCTCGCTGCATTGAAGACCCATTGGTGGCCTTCGGCTGTTGTCTGCTCTATGGTCGGGTTGTTGTCTCTTTGACACATTCCCCATTTCCATTCTTAAATTTATGCTACAAAAAATTCTATCAAGAAGCATAATTTTAGGCACATCACGATTTACTTGCAAAGGTATTTGAGAAAAAACATTTATAAAGATATGTAGTAAAACAGATGAAAGCATACTATATTTATGAAACAAAAATGGACAAATTGAATGTAAACATTTTCTATTTATATAAGTGAAATAGCCAATAATAATCCAAAAATAAACGGTAAAACCCGCTATTATTACAAAAATATCCACAGTAACATACAAAATAAGAAAAACTAAAAAATAGGGACAACAAAAAGAACACAGGGATTTGAACCTAAACCGACAAAGCTCTACCTTTAACTTGACCCTATAACTCATTGATCTTAACCGTGTTAACCTCGCGGCTACCAACTTATACTATACGATTATCTATTATGTATACATAAAGGTACACGCACGGTGTGTCCGTTGTACCGATGTGTATCATATGTTCATTTATATATATATAATAGACATTTAACTTGCAACTCATTAGTAGCCGAGAGGTTTCGTCGATGTGTTGATGTCAGTCATACATAACATATTAACATAGAGGGTTCGATTCCCAGTGAAGGCATATAAAAATGACAAAAATTAAAGGTAAGCTTTAAAATTAATTCCATTAGTGAACAGAAATCAGTAAATTAGCTACTTAACTTAATGAAATTAGGCAAAAGGAAACAATTGAATATAATTTTGTAAGTCCATTTGAGCGACAGATTTAGGAAGCGTTGATTTTAGAAAAAGAATCCACGGTTAATAGGCTGACGTCACAACTTGTCATTGAAAAGATAATGTGAAAGGGAAGTGTAAAGAGCTGAAAAGTAAAAACTGTCAATCGAAGGGCCATCAAAAGCATGTAATATATTTGAAACATCCAAAGATTTATTTTACACTCCAATAATAGTTAATTCTACTTTTTTCATATGTTTTATTACAAATGTTAATGATAAGTTCTTTGATAGAACTTAGGGAACTAGATAAAAGTACTGAAAGATTTGTTGTAGAACACTTCTTTGTTGCCGATATGAAATGATATTTTACGGTTTTTTTTTTTGTAGATGCCCAATGCATAGTAGGGACCTTCAAATGTTCCGAAGAGGTCATAAGCTGAGATGTGCTGATGATATGATTGTTCACTATTTGACACTTGATGTGGGGCATATGGACCTGAATGTAGAAGAATTTATAATTTCATTCTTAAGTGTCAATCTGCCTAAGAATCAGACAGTGGTGAACATGACAAACAAAAACCCGCCCAATTGTACATTAATCTAAGTTCAATAGTATAATTGTACACGTATATAACATTCGTTTCCTTTTCCTGTACTGTTATTTCAGATATAATTTGATTCAAATGCACTAGAAATTAACAACTAAGTAGAGATAACTCCGTAATTTGCTATCATTTTAACTTAAAGTTATCTAGAGGTTACGAATTACCAGATACAAAGAAATGAAAGACCTACCATTTCTTACTCAGGTCAGGGTAACTTCAAAACCGGATGGGGAGGTGGGCGGGTTTTTCCAATTTCCAATTGTGAACTTTCCATTTCAATGTAGCAACATTCCAGCAGCGCCTGCATACGGAGTATATGTCTACTAGTTGATACGATATTCCAGAGCTTGTATTTCCTATCATGATTTTCTTGATAGAGGGTTACTTTTCACAAGGAAGCTATTAAACCAAAAGTTCCGTAAATTATAACAAATATTTTGAAATAAATAAAACGACGTCTACGTTTAAAATCACTAACGTGAATGTATACTTAAAATGAATATTAGGGGCAGTACTTCAGCTAGGTATGATTTCAGATTGCATTTTGAAACAAACAAAAGATCAACATAGGTTGAAGTTAAAAGGAATACTAATTACTCCGGTAACCTCAAAATGACTATATATAATAAAACAAAAGCAAAAAGAAAAAAGAAAAAATCTCATAAATGAAACATAACATAAAAATTAACTTAACCGCTTACCCCAAACCCAGATTACAGGATCTCGTGGTTGGTGAAAATAACCATTTCAAATAGTGTGATACAATAAAACCAGAAACAAATTCCTTTTCAACTTCATAAATGTCACATTATTTCTTTTTATTTTCATTTTAAAATTTCAATATTACTGTGACAGAACTTGCATTCGTGCGGTACACAATTTCTTAGTTTTCATGGATGGCTTTATACTCGAATTTAATTGTCCAACGAAAGGTAACAACTGTTGTCCAAATCAAGACATGGAAAGATCCCCATGTCGGCTTGATACGTGGATACGAGCATATAATCTAGAAAATACATCGAATATCAGCAAGCACACTATTAACTATATATACAACTTCAGGCAGGATTTTACCAATTTAATTTTAAAAAATCCAAACTCTACGACATTTAACCTTTTAATTCTCACGAAAAAATAGTTTAAATCAATGAAAGATAGACTTCCGGTTGATATGTGATTATGAAGTGTTCATTTTATCTCCTCATAATTCTCATTCGAAAAAAAGTCATA